TCATTGAAAAAAGAAAAGAAAAACGCTTGATTCACAATCGAGCAACCAACCGACGGATCGTCGTACTACTTGCGCTTATCAGTCAGCGATCACGGTTCGCTCTTGGTCGCGATAGTGACGTAGAACTGCTTTTTTTTTTTTTTTTGATTGGCCACGTTGTCTGTCGCGCGGCATGCGTCATCATCGCGCCAGTTTTGAAAGTCGAAGGTCTGTACGCCTACATGGTGCGAGAACCGGCGAACTAAAGGCGATGTCCCGAATTACTGGGTATGTCACTTGACTGCGGCTGCAATATTTATATATAACACGCGATCCTACCCCTATAAAACGGGGGTGGAATCCTTCAGGACCCCAATAAAAGTTTTTCATCCATCCATCCACTATAAAAAATATCAGGCTTGCGCGGAAAGCGAAGCACTGTCTTAGCGAAGACGGGAGGACTCTGGTCGTGCACTTTTTCACGATAACCTCGGCTAAGGACAACAGGTGTTTAGAGAACTTTCGTCTTCCCAAGCAGGTCATCTCTTCATCCTCATTTTTTCCATTCAACGCGAATCCTCTTTCCCATCGGACTCGACCAATTTCGCGGTGATCGCTAAGGTGAGACTTGGCTTTCCCTATTGGAGAACGGTATACAGGTGTCCTCGCAGGTGTATTGACAATATCGAGGAAATGGTATTCGGGCTATAATAAGCGCTTGGGAGAGCATGTTTTGATGCTTTTCTAATGAGCCATTATTGGATGCATCGAGCTATTCGTCGTATATAATTGGCGCGCTTCTTGTCACTTCTGTTCGCCACGTGATGTTGGATAGCATCGTTGGGTGTAGTGCAAGTGTTTTGCAGAATAGTGTAGCGTCTTCCCTTCTGTGGGCTTGTGACTGCAGTCACAACCCCACAGAAGGGAGGGCATCACGAACTTCCATGGAAGTTTGTAATGTCGAGTTGAGTCTACCGTATGACATTCTTCGATCACGTTGCGGCGTTCATTTCAGTGCTTGATTTAGACACCTCAGAAACACTGGGTGAGGTCGCTAACCTCACCTGTTGCTTCAGGCGACTTTGTCGTCATGTCCTCACCTGCCCGCCCCGAGAGGCTTGCGCGAGCTTCAATATAACGTGTGCCACGAATGGCCCACCGACTCTTTGAAATCGTGTTTATAAATTTATTTGAAATCGTGTTTATAAATTTAATCGGTCGCGGGTAGTCAAACCTCTAGGATGCTATTTCGTCCATCCACCAGCAGTATTCGGAGGGGACACAGACGACGCTGCACGGAATTGGTGCCGGAAACCATTCGGAGAAAGTCGAAGTGGGTTTTCGCGTGTTGGTGCGGCTCGGAAACGCCACCGCCGCCGTAAAATCGATTCCAGATGTTACTTACATATGCAGTTCGTAGACGCGAAATTGCAAACTGCTGGGTGGATGAATAAAATAAAGCGAAAGCAGGGGCCTGCGCGTGAGGTGCATTTAAAGGGGTCCCCCCTTTCCTGCGCCATGGTCGCCCCCCAAACTTTTCCCTCGGCAGTGCCGGTGCGCGCGTGCACGAACGGCAGAAGCAGCAGCTGGCGTTGTTAAGTGCGCTCTGCCATCTGGAGGAAGAGAGGAGGTCCGGCGTACGTGGCCGGCATGAGAAACGTCGCCCGCTTCGCTTATTATGTGCCTTCTCCTTTCCCCCGACCTGGGCCGGAAGACGACGAGGGCTCTCGTATTATAGCGGAGTTGCGTGTTACGACTGCGCGATCGCTTCGCTTCAACGGGAGCATGCAATGATGGATTTCCGCTGCGAGTCTTGAAGAGAGAGCGTTCTTGTCTTTTTTCTCCTCTCCTTCCTTTTGTGATTCGGACATCTGTTTCGTGCGGCGGGGCCCGCGTCTCCACTTCTAGTGCAGTTGACATCTTGAACACACAGCAGTCATTATCCCGTGTAACTCGTAGTGTAGCAGCATGTGCTGTATACTAATGCGGACGATCCACCCGATTTTGTCCTCCCTATGTAATAATAAATGTTGCGGGACTCTTCTTCGAGAACGGCTAAAAGGGCGCGTCGCAGCCTCCCTCCTTTCCCCCTTTCGGTGATCACGAGTTCCCGGCTTGCCCTTGGCGAGGGGCAGTTGACCCTCGTGAGCGTGCGTGCAGCTTTTTGGATAACAGTGTCCTCGGGTGTAGCCGGGGCGGGCTTCTGCCCCGCACGGCCACCCGTGCTGCTCCTTTGTGTGCGACTGCCGGCTTCACTGCGCACCACGCGCGATCTCGCGGCCAGAATAGGTCGGGGAACTTGATTGCTGTGTGACTGAAGGGAACCACACGTGTCTTAGCGCGGTTCGTGCTATATGAATCGGGGCCGGAACTCCGCTGGAAGGCTCGATGGAGAACTGCGTAGCAGGTCCCCAGCTAAGTCCACTCCCACCCCCCCCACCCCCTCGCTTTGGATATTTGTCGCGGGAAGCCACCATTCCAGGAAGCCATCATTCGTGAATTTATTGAATCCCCCGTAGCTTAGAGTTGAAGGGTTCACATCAGAGGCTAAGGACACCGAAATGACTGATGACTTTCTACGTCATATCGTACGCTCCTCCGTCCCCTGTAGCTTGATCATCATATCAGGGGGACGCTTGCTTGAGCTGCGTAATTTGTTATTAGCGTTTAATAATTTGCATATATTGCAGCGGCGACGCTTTCCACTTTTTTAGCCGCCTCTGTTTGCAAAATATGTAAAATTGGCGAGTGATACGTCACTCGATCGTACGAGTTGAATGTACCAGCTGCTTTATGTTTTAGAGCATCAGGCAGCCAACGAAAAGGCGGGCGACCAGATTGGCTTCCCAGTTGACGTCGTCGGGAATAGCTTGTACACGCGGCAACGTATTCAGAAGATTCGGTGAACGTTCTTGGAAAATCGGTCTTGACGAGGCATTCGGGAAGAAGCCTGACATACGAACGAAACGAAATAGCGCCGACCCAAAGTGGAAATGTTTAAAACATTTAAAAATGACGTTTCGGCTACCTGACCAAAGGATACCATACGGTATCCTAAACACAATTTTGGTATTTTTAAACATTTAAATTTTGGTCGACACTATTGAATTTTGTTTCTATTTCAACGTTCTTGGAAATACAGCTCTGCGGAAAGACAATTGAAGTAGCGCATAAACGGTATAACCTAATAAGATACACGTTTGAAAATAAAGTAAGGGACACTAAAGCTAACGATTGAATTGGTTTATGTGGATAAATTGTACTCTAATTATATTAGTTTCACCATCGTGGGTTTATTAATTCAGGAAAAAGTCGGTCAAATTTTCATTTTTGAATTTTGCGCCCATTTCGCCGTACGTGCTTTGAATTTCAAAGTGATTTTCTTTATCGTAATTTGGCGGCATTGTCTCAAAGAAATTTGCGTAAACTTGGTACGTTTGTTAAGTCTATGCCTATCTCAAAGGACGATGCGGTTAGTTTTTTTGTTAATTAGGAACTACGTAGGACCCTTGTAGATACTGTCGAAATCTGACGTGACGACGTAAAAAGATACTGTTAAAAAGATACTGTTAAAATCTGACGTGACTTGAGGTAACTAAGTTAGCGTCGCCACCCGCACATTAATTTTTGCGCGTTTTCTCGTTTAACAGGCGTGCTCTCTGGGCGTGGGCAAGCGTGGTGATTTTGCAATTGTGAAAGAATTATTTGCTAATATGAAGGAAATCGTTTTTCGCTTCGATGTCCCTTCAAGTTCGCTGATTGGCGAGTATTCATGCTCGCCGAGTGATTCAGTATTCATGCCCGCTGGTGGATTGGCCAGGAATGGACGAGTTTTAAAGGGAATTCTCAAGATATAAGGTCTCACAATAACAGGCTGGCAAGGTTATTATTATTATTATTATTATTATTATTATTATTATTATTATTATTATTATTATTATTATTATTCGCGTCAGTAGCGTTTCGAGTCGGTAAGACCTGCGTTTTAAAGTTACCTCTTTATCATATATATATTTTTAACGCTTACGAAGATGCCGACCATTCTGTGGGGCTACTTGGCAGATCCTCCTTTGTGGGTGTGCGCCAGTATTACAAGGATCATCATCATCAACACGCCTAGTCACGTGACAGTGATCTCCGTGCGCGAGGTAACGTGCGTGTTGTGGAAAGAAAGAAGCGTCGGAACTCGCCCCCGGAAGCTTGCGTTCGCCCGCCAGCAGGGAGGCTGTGCGGCGAAGCGTGATTGCGGTTGCCTTTCGGTGATTGTTGTTAGAAGGAGCGCTTTACGGAGACTTTACTTAACGAGCCGCGCTAGTTTCGTGCTCCTGCTAAAAAAAAAATAGCTACTGGTAGCGCGTTTTCTCTCCCATCCACTTGCAGCTTATTGTTTCATTTATTTGTTCTTTTTCTGTCTACATTTCACACCTGTGTTCTATGCTGTCCCATTGCAGTGTTTGTTTGGTCACTTGCAACGAAACAGTATTGTTTAGATTTAGTGTATGCCCTTTCTTGGAATATTGTTTTGTCACTTTACCTGAATTAAGTTATTTGCTCAACGGGGTGCTGTACTGCTGGTTTTTCATCAATGAGCCATCAGTCGGAGTTTTAGAGCTCCTTGGATGGTACTTTTTTTTGTGGGTGGCCTTGTTCAATATATAGTGGGATTTGCGTATCTTTTTACTGGAGGCATTAGTTCTCTTGTGAAGCATTTGGGAGAAAGAGCATACACCAGGCCGCCATGGCCATTTGCAATCTGAATTTAGTGCCGCTAGTTGCCACGGTCAACACAGTCTGGAGTTTAGATGACTGTTGCGTGGCTGGGATTTGTGACCCCAGCTGAGCGCGGAGAACTTAACCGGGGTCATGGCATGTTCTCAATTGCAGCAAAAGAAAAAAAAAATTTCTGTAGTGGCTAAAACTTGCCTAATAAGAATTGCTATAGAACTAGCCCTGAAACTTGCATGTTTTACGCTCAAGATGTCACTATAATATTTTCTGTGCAATATGTTTGCTATGTGCAGGTCTATCAAAGCATTCCGCCAAGTGCTTTACATCGACCCCGGCTTCGCCCGGGCCAATGAAATCCACCTGCGTCTTGGGTTGATGTTCAAGGTCATTGCTGACTATGAATCTGCTCTCAAGGTATGTCCTTGTGTCATGTACCTCTCTATCTCTCTCATGCATATTGATTTTGCAGGCACTCGAAATTGCTTTGAACTGAACTGCTTGCTTGTCCTGCACTGTTGGTTCTTGCCAGTTTTCACTCGTATTGTTGCTTGATAACATTTGTAAGTGAGAGATCGACAACTTTAAATTGTGTGCTAATTTTTATAATATTTCACGATGCAAGCAAAATGTGAAAGGTGTTTGTGTGCTGGGGTATCATTGTTCAATAGAGGGCTTCATAGAAGTGCAGGGTAGTATACAGCCTTCCATCATTGCTTTGGTATGTCAGAACAAATCATCCACGCTTCACGTAGATCGGCACGTTGTATACGTAATATTTCAGTGCATGCATGAAAAATGTAATAGATCTGCAGATAAATAACCTCCTAGTCACCTTCCTTTTTTCCATTTTCTTTGCAGCATCTTCAGTTAGCTCAGAGCGACTCCAGACCCAGCACCTTTACAAAACCTGAAGGTAAGCATGCTAATCTTTCTGCAGTCTAGCAGTTCAATCGTGTGTAAATCGAAATTCTCGTGGTGAAGTCAAGACGCAGTGCATCTTCCGCAGAGATTCACAAGGTGGAGTTAGAATATCAGTCACTCCCTGGAGCAGTAAAATTGGCTTTGTGGAAATTGGCGTGGGACCCTGCATGGCGGAGTTCCTTCTGGCTGTTTTGCATGTTTACTTGCCTGCTGGTGCTGTGTGGCACTGCAAGAGTTTCAATTTTTTCGTTGTCACTTTGCTGTAGTGGTGGGGATTACATTTCAGTCATGGATTAGTAGGCATTGCTTTACATCACAGAAGAGTGCTCGTTTGTAGAGTCGGTCTGCTTTGCACAATTCACTATTGAAATTTAACATGACTCCTCTAGAGGTTCACTTGAAGGATGCGTAATATCATTCTTCAACTTCTCAAATTGTTATGCAATGTGGGTGACATCTGCATGAAAAGCAACTTATGTCAGCTTTTCTCTGTAACTCTCCGACATACCATGAAGCATGTCAGCATGTCCTGGTGACCTCTCTGCCTTACTCTTATGGGACATGACTGTGCATGTTTATGTCAAGTATAGCAAGCTGAAAGGAATAGTCTTCCTGCCAAGCAGGGAAGCATATCTCCTTTCTTAGAAACAGCATTATGGTTCTCTTAAAGCACATTTTGCTCATCTGTTTGTTGTGTACACAACTTCAGCATAAGGTGGTTTTTTTTGTTTTCATAGCCAACAACTTCAATCTATAAATTACTGTCATTTCCACTTAAAGTAAAATGGGTGTTCTTCATATTTTTTTTTCTAATCTGGTAGAAAATATACCTGCATAAGTCTATGAATACGAGCATCCAGATTTTTGCTGCCTCAGGTTTATAATTCTGTCCTCTTGTATTTGTTGCAGTGCGCTTTCATATTGCTCATGTTCTGGAAGTGCAGGTAAGCATATTGTCTGAACTTTTTTTTATAATATTCGTGTCTTTACTATTCATATTGGTGTTTGGTGATGGCTTGTAATTTTCTTTATTATCCATTTTTGAATCAATGTTTTCTTTAAAGCATAATGTAATAGAGCCTGTCCATGCAATTGTTCATGCCCGTCACATGAATTCCTCAAATTTAGCAGATTCTGGGGATTCTATCTAGTGCTTGAGGGCATATGTGGCATTCTGTGAACGTAAACTGATGGAAGCTTTCTTAAGGCACTGTTAAGGTTCCAGGTCATTCACATGCAGTAAGAAATCAGGTCATCAAAAATATTTGCGGAATTTTATTATAAGCTGTCTTAATCATGAGTCTCTTGAAGTCTGCTCTCTATCATACCAGTGTTGGGGTAAAATATAAAAACGGTATGAAAGTCCCCATCAGAAGTTCACATCTATTTTTGTTTCATCCCATATGCTGACCTTACTCTGCAATGCTTTAGAAAGAAGCTTTGGTTTGATGGCTACAATATTATTATCCACACACAATACTACCTCCTCAAGTAACTTCCACGCTGATTTTGCAGATAATCACTGATTAAAATCATTGTAGCTAAAGTGGTTAACTTTTAGAAGCTGCCAGAAGGAAATTTACAGCTCCATATTTTAAAAAATTTGCTCATGCAACATAAAAAAAACAATGAGATGAAGGGTTGTACATTTTGATCCCATGTTACCAACGGACATTGGGACTCTGCTACTATAAAAGTGCAAGGGGCATGTTTTCACCTGACTTCCATCTGCTTTCCTGGAGTCCTTTTCTGCACAAATCTAACTGCATGTAATCTGTAAATCTCATCTGCTGTGGGCATTGTAGCCAATCAAGTTTCTATTGCTGTGTTGTCTTTCATTTTGATGTTAAGACGTGATGTAAAATTTTGTTTATCCCTACAGTCTGTAGAGTTTAGCTTTTTCTTTAATGTACAACACACCTCATCGAGATATCTTCAATTAATATTGAGCCACACCATTTCACGGTTTCTATGTATGCGCTTAAATAGGAACTCTCAAGGTAAAATTTTATCCAACCGCTGTCAATCGCTTGTGTTCACGAGTCTGTCACCCCCTACCCATCTTTTCCAGGGGAAATACAAGCAGGCGAAAGAAGCTTATGAGCAGCTTCTCAGCTTGAAGGACATCAGTCGGACAGTGCGGGCTGAAACATTGCGGCAGTTGGGTATGTATCCTCGACACAAGCCCATCCATAGGCGGATACAACTTAACCTCGTAATCCCCACAAAGTTATGCTCTAAAAAGTATTGTAAGAAATGCTGAACATTTTTCTTGAAGCATTGCTAGTTTTGTTGTCTTTCCGAGGAATTATATTGAATGTAGCAAATGCAGTACAGCCTGCCCAGATGTGCAATGCGTGACGGCTGATGGTCACCATGAGTAAATAAATCGTCTCGATCATGTTCTCGATCACATTCTTTGACGGCAAAGTCACGGGCTAAGTTTCTCACCATATCAGTCTCTCGTATTGTTCCTCTTTTGAGGAAGACATGCTGCCTTCTTCTAAACTTGTACTTAACTGTAGTGTAATACATGGGCAACATTTTACGCATGATGTTTGTGTACTTGTTAAAAATAATTTCAAAACATGAGGCCACTACAGCAGGGAGTGACTGTATACGTGCAGTAGTGAGTAGAAATCGCTACCACACACATACAAAAAAAAAAGGAAGGCGTCTTGCATGGCGATTCTGATGCTGCTGGTATATGGTAATGGCAGTGATGCTTATGACTCGGCATGTTATCATTTTGAAGGACGGATTGTGCTGCACACACAGAAATATGTAGAGGGAGTATTATTATGTAGAGGGAGTATTATTAGTAGAGGGAGGGAGTGCGATTACATAAACAAAAGTGCTGTTGTAATACTGAGGTGTTTCTCTCTGATGTGGTTCCTGTAGGTTGGATGCACCATACCTTAGAGGTCCTAGGGGAAAAACCACAACGGCAAGCGTACGCTCTGCACTGCCTGCAGAAATCGATCGAGGCTGACCCGACGAGTGGCCAGTCACTGTACTTTCTCGGACGCTGCTTTGCTAGTATTGGCAAGGTCCATGATGCATTCATCTCTTATCGCAACTCAGTGGACAAGGCGGAGGCCAACGCAGACACCTGGTGCTCCATAGGGTATGTTTTAACGGTTTGTATTTATTCGGGAAAATGCAGTGCTCGCACGCTGAAAAAACACCAAAAGGATAAAATAAATAAATAAAAATAAAGCTTGGATCGTGAATGGTGATTTGTAGCTCTCCATTGTGGCATTTCTCGTAGCTTCGATGCTGCATTAGATCACGGAGATCATTTGAGATCAATCCACCAGATAATCACTTTCACGGTATACCTAGTGGTTGGTTCTTAAACTTTCTGACGCGATTTTTTTTCTGCTGCCACTTAAAACCTTTTAGGGTACTGCCATATTGGTGTGTTGCATTCTCGAGGTTTGTTTATAGAGCTCAAGGTTACTGTAAGCATTTGTGCAATAACATTTGGTCGTCATATAAAAAAATGGATATTGTTAGAGGGGCCGGTACTATGGTTAGACACAACTAATTAAACCAATGGTCAATTAAGCCAAGTAAAACATAAGGGAAGTTATTGTTTTTCAACTGTAGCATAATGATCATGACCTGCCTTGCTATTATCCAGAATTTTCACCATTAAGGAAAAACTTTTTAGTGTTGACCTTTCTTGTCAACTTGCTTTAGTTCTTTCCTGCATATTTCTTCCTCCGTTCGCTAGGGTGTGGACTATTTGCTGCCATCCGTTATGTGTACTTTAAAGTTATTTCAATAGATCGATCAATCCATCTAGCTATTAGAAGAATTTTAAAATGGTGAGATCAAGCAAGGTGGTGCACAGCAAGTGAGGAAGGCCAGTCGACTAGTTGAGAATGTTTATAAGAAACTCGTAGATGGGTCTTGCTGGTCCATGTTGTGGAAGGGGGTTAAAACGTGGTGCTTCGGCACGTGAGTGACCCTCGTTGCCCCTGCTTGCCTTGTGCAGAGTACTCTACCAGCAGCAGAGCCAGCCGATGGACGCTCTGCAGGCGTACATTTGCGCCGTGCAGTTGGACAAGGCACACAGCCCCGCCTGGACAAACCTGGGTGTGCTGTACGAGAATTGCAGCCAACCGCAGGATGCCCTCAAGTGCTACCTCAACGCCATGCACGGAAGCTCGTCCTCCTCCGGCAACCTGGCAGGCCGAGTCAAGTTCCTGCAGACGCAGCTGAGCGCCGCACCCCCGGCGAGTGTGCAGAAGCCTCGGCAGCTGCCATGCATTGAGGATGCCTGGAACATTCCAATCTCCCAGGAGATGGCCTCCAGGTTAGGGGCACCATTTCGTGGTCACCTGGCACAACATTTTGCTTGGCTAAATTACTTGGATGCAAGTGGTGTACATATACTGTTTAATCAACCTTGTATAAAACTACAGGGTTAGTAATTGCAAAATGTGTGTATAAACAGTTTTAAAAATAGCACCCCACTTGGCAGAATATCTGTCGCATAATGATTAGTGGATATGGTAAAAGATATGTGATTTGATGTGAGAAATTTTTGAAACCTCGGAGGTAAGATTAGGAAACCGTGCTAGTGCTAAATGTTTTGTATTCTGCTTAATTTATGAAAGGCGTTTCTTTGTAGCTTTTTGCTTTGGTGGGTGGATTGCGACCTTTTCTGTTTGCTTTTTCCAAGACACTGCAACAGTATGCACGTGATTTTGTTTCACATTGCATTTCGTTAACATATATTTTTTTAGAGTGCACTACGTTAACTGGCCTCAAAAGGAATTAATCCTGTTGCTCTTACTGCAAGGCCTTTAACCTTTTTTTTTTTATTTCCTTGCAGGCAAAACAATCAGCAAAATCGGAGCCCAGCAGGCTCCACGCCCCAGCAGCGAACAGGCTATCCCCCGGACCAGGTGGATGGGAATAGCACCAAAAAGCTCAAGGTGGCCTCGGGCTCACCACGTGCCATGACTCCAGGGGCCAGTAGTGAGGTGGGGCCTGAGCACAGGGCAGTCGTCCCTGCTGGCCCACCTCCACCATTCTACCTGAGCCACCAGCAGCTGCAAGTGAGTAGGCAGCCAGCACTATTCGAAAGCGACTGTCCTTGTAGCCGACCTGGAGTGTCGCGAATGAGCACAACGTGACGCCCTTTAGCGAAAAGAGTGTCCCTCTCTCGCTGCCTGGCTGTGAGCAGGACTGGCTAATACTATCGGGCTCAATGATAGAGCAACGTGTGCAAATTACAACCTTAGTAGTGGTATGCACTCTCGGGCATCGCACATACACAAATACCCCTAGAAGTGTACGAAGAAGCACCTTCCATTGTAGCTCAGTTTGTGGGTTTGGATCCCACTGTTGACAGAGCGATTTGTAATCCACTTTTTGTCGTGTCTATTTACGACCTAAATACTATACTGGCACATTCATGTCTCCTATGTAATCCACTTTTCGTCATGCCTATTTATGACCTAATTACTATACTGGCACATTCATTTCTCCTATGCTTTCCTTGGTCTAATTGTCCAGACAAGATGGATTCATTTGGTTGAGCCTAACGAAAAAATGACCTTTAGAAACAAAGATCCCCTTTTCTCGTTCATGAATGAAACGGGTCACTCTGTTCTGCACACCTAGTGATTTAGATGCCCAACAGACATCGCCTTCTATTGAGCTAAGTGAAAGGGCTTTGTTATGTGCCAGCTGGATTTGGCCACTATGTATCTTTTGCTCAAGCTGGTGCGAGACGAAACTTTTCCGCCACAAGTATTTGCTTACCTCAGGCAGACTGAAGCTCGGGACTCTGCACTTTCACTCCAACACTGTTATACAGTTGGCAAACTTTCTCTTATGTGTACATTTGTGTGACCCTTTCCGCCGTGTAGGCAATGCAGCTGCCATGGAGTGTAGCCACGGGTTGACTGAAGGCAGTGTGTCATAGTGCTACAGATATTTATAGATGAATGCGCACGGGCAGTGGGTGATTATAGTCAAAGACATGAGCAGCGGTTTCTTTTGGGCCTGCTTGTTGCCCTTGTGAAATATGTGTTTCAGTTGTGCTCTAGTTCAACTAGTACGTATCTATTCTGTGAGCATGTGTCTTGACGCTTGCACATGCCTGTGTTCGTGATTGTGTGTACCTTCTCATCTCTCTCTGTGTTTTCATCATAGAGTATTCTTGCATTTCAAAGGTACAAATTATGTATACTTCAATTCGTCAGCGCACCAACCATAGGTGACATTCTGTGTGTGTTATTAGGTGCTGGCCTACTTGCAGCAGAACCAGGAGACACTGAACCCCCAGCAACGCAATCTGCTGCAGCAACTGCAGCAGCAGCACCGGCTCATGCAGCAGCATAGGCAACAGCTGCTCCTACAAGTAGGCACTTTCAATTGCTGCCTTACTCGTGGGCTTGTTTTAACTGGAGTTCACTAACTGGGTTTTGTTAAACCAGTGGGTGCCAGCCAGGTGTATTGGTATCATACTTTACCCCTTGACCAGTAACTTTACCCCTTGACCAGTAAGTTTGAAAACATTTGGCCTTTAGCAGCTCAGTGGCCCATTGCCATGATTGGACATTGGAAATTAAATAGCATGGCTCATAAATTGCTCGGGGACAACAAAGCATTTGTGCTCAATGCAAAATCTAAATACTGTTTGCATCTCGTGTATTTGGAGTAGTGTTGGCATTATATTTGTGGGTCCCCAATATGTCTGGGATCTCTGGTGTAAAATCTACTTCTCAGCTCTGGAGCATCCTCTGCAATTTAATATAATACCTTTCCTACCGCCAGTTTTTGGCTTCAGTTTCTAGGATGCTGTGTTATGTTTGCACGTTGTAGAATGCGGTCTCTCATTTTGCATCATTATGTAGAATGACAGCTTTTAGCAGTAAAAGCTGGGTTTTGTTAAATTCTGATGCCTGACCACTTGACAAATAAGCAATTATTTTATAAGGCACTAAGAGGCTTAGAAGTATTTTTGCTAGAGAACTGATGCCCGGATTATTATTTGTTGCAGAAAACAAGTACGTCGTGAAAATATTGTGTAGGTGCCCCTGTGGCACTCAGTTCTTTTGGGCTGACAGTGGCAAAGCTTTACCGTTTTCCAAACACCCTCCTTTCAATCAAATTTCTTCTCCCGGTGGTGGGCCGGTGGGCGGTGGTGGCTTTACCTTGCTTGGACACTTCATTCGTTCTAAAGCATTTCTTAAGAATTTGGAAAAATGGGTTTCAGGACCTCTCTAATAATTGAGGGGGGGGGGGGGGGGAAACCACGTTGTGTGTGTGTGCATGTAGGTGAGCATTGGTGTTCTGCTGCCCTTTTCAGAGGCAGCAGGCACAGCAGCAGGCACAGCAGCAGCAAGTAGCAGGGGGTAACTTTGCTGCTCCCCCTCGACCCTATGGGCCCTCGTATGCCATGGCTCCCGGCCCGAGGGCCAACGGCTATGCACCCCCACAGCAGCAGGGAAGTCAGTGTGCCCCCTCAGCTGCATATCGCCTCCCGCAACCCCAGGTAAACCAGCAGTGCTGCTTGTGCCAGTTGACTGGGCTGAAGCAAATTGGGCCCTGGCACGCTTATCCCACCTGCTTGCCCTGGCTATGCAAACATGTGAAGAAGTAATGGGGGCATTGAAAAAAAATCGCTGCATCATCCTGCTTTCTGACCTTTCCATTTGTCAGTATGTACTGACTCCTCCAAACTGTTACGTCTGCGGGACCACACTCATGTGCTTTTATACTCTGCTTGCGCTTTACTTTCCTCCTACTTCCGCACGTTTGTACTTTTCTTTTGCATGTGTTAAGCTGCCGGCCCTGCTGACAGGCGTGAGAAAGCTGTCCGAATAAATTGCTACTCATAGACATAACGTATAAAAAAGAAGTTTGAACTGAAGAAATAAATTTATGCCCCCGTGCATCTATGCAATATTGCTCCATAATGAATTACAATTTACCAATGTTTTATGGTAATCACATTGGAATCATGCGTTGTGAGTGCATGCAGTATATCATACTTGGAACTATAGGTAACACGAATGAGTAGACACATTCAAAAGAGAGAGTATGTTAGAAAACTGCGTTCACTCCACTGCATTCGACCTGCATACCCACTCTTGCAAATATGTCTACTTATTTCGTTAACCTACAGTTTCGGGCATGTCCAACACACTGTTAGCCTATCAACAGGTTTTGCTCATAGTACGAGTGATTGCAATATCACTCGATCATTGTACCATGACAGGGTCGACCGCAGCTTCCTGTGGCCCCTCTGAGTGACCAGGACCTGCAGCTGCTCTTGTCGCAAAGTAAAGAAACGGCATCGAGCCTTGCCGAAGATATTCTAGCCCATCTGGCTGGACCAGACCTCCTCGACACGCCCAGGATTGCCGAAGCGGGATTACCGGGTGCCTCAACTGATGACAGCACGCCATTAAAGAGCGCACCTGAGGAGTCCAAGGACTCCCTAAAGGTACAGGCACCCTCAAAAATGCAGGATGTATGAAGAAAATAGCTGCATTGCTTAAATGAGCAAAAAAGAATAAGTTTCTACCTTTTGTTAGCCTGAATTGTTCAGCGTGAGGTATATTGTGTAAGAAGACGGAGCACAAGAAATGGGAGTGGTGGTCCACGACGGCAAGCCTAATTTCCTCTCTTTCCCCTTGCACTGATAGGAATTTAAGTATGGCCATGTTCAAGTGTGCTTAGATTGTTAAAGTTCTGATTATGCACTGGTTGAAAGAATGTCAATGTAAGTCCTTCAATCAGTCTGTCATCAAAAAACTTTGACATGAGCCAACTAGCTTTAATCAACAGCTTATTGACTTGGATTGTTAACAAAGTTGAGCTACTACTTGGTATCATTTTCAAATATTGGTATTTCTGATATGCGCCTACAAACAATACTGTCTACTAGCTCAATTTCCCTCTTCTTATCAGCGTGTTGATATCCTGATACTTTGAGACCTTGTGCTTGTCGTGGTGGTTGTTCATCTGGTTAGTTGCTGCTTCCTGCCTGCTAAAGAAAGTGTGCCACTTTTTTTGTGTGTCTGCAGAGTGGTCTGGCGGAACGACTGCTGCCTGGACAATCCAAGCCAGCCTTGTCTATTGCCATGTCGGCAGCTGAAGTGTTAGAAGGTTGTGCGGAGATAGCACGCCAGGGAGGTGCCTTCCCACTGAGTCTGCTGTCGGACGACCCTACGCCTCCACGACCACCAGATCCACCATCGCCGCCACCCACAAAGGAGCAGCTGCTGCCACAGACACCCAGTGTCTTTGTGAGTATTTTTTCACTTCTCGCCCATCACCTATGTATGTATTTCTTGCTCGAGCTATGATTTCTTCATTCAGATGCGCATGTCTAGGAGACTCTGTCATAGTTGTGCTGCAGTAGTATTAGCAAGCTTTTCAGTTGCTTCGCAATAAATCTCATTTTGAATGTCTGGGAAGATGCACACCACAAATACCTTAATACCTTAATCTGTCTATTCTGATTTTGGATGTCTGGGAAGATGCACACCACAAACACTTTAATCTGTCTATTCTGGCTTTTGTAACAGCTGTTTCAAATCTTGGAGCATGTGTCAGTGACTCGGGCACGCTGAAGTTAAATAAAACTCGTTCTGAAGTCTTTCGTACCTCTCTTTCTGCTGCAGTGAGCAATGAATGTCAGGTGATATGAAGCCAGTGATAAAAAAAACAAAATAATAGGTAGTGAATAATAAATGTCAAGCATGAGAGAACCATAACAGACAGACACCCACAAGAGAAATGACACATACACAGAAGTGCTCACTGACAACTAGATTTAGCCCCGCCGCAGTGGTCTAGTGGCTAAGGTACTCGGCTGCTGACCCGCAGGTCACGGGTTCGAATCCCGGCTGCGGCGGCTGCATTTCCAATGGAGGCGGAAATGTTGTAGGCCCGTGTGCTCAGATTTGGGTGCACGTTAAAGAATCCCAGGTGGTCAAAATTTCTGGAGCCCTCCACTACGGCGTCTCTTATAATCATATGTGGTTTTGGGACGTTAAACCCCACATATCAATCAATCATCGACAACTAGATTTATTGACAAAACAACAGAAAAGTATTTATAAAGTATGGTATTCTGCATATAAATTAATATGTCGGTCAGTGCTTACGTGTACATGTCATTTCTCTTGTGTGTGTCTGTTTGCACTGGTACTTGCTCCTTGAATGGACCAATTCGCCTGAAAAGAAGCTTCGATTAGCATCAATTGTTACATGAATACCATATGTGCTCACCTTTTAATAATGATTGTACACACCCAGTATGACATTCAATAGAGCTTTGTCTTTGGAATAGCTGGGCTAATTTTCGTTGTGTTGACTCGCAGCTGGAGAACAAGAAGCAGGCCTTCTCGCCGCAGCTGCAAGAGTTTTGTGTGGCGCACCCCATTGCAGTGATCCGGAATATGGCCAATGTCCTCAAACTAGGTGAGTTTTGCATAAATTTACATGTCATTTGTGAGCTGCTGTGCTGCCCTCAGGTTACCTTGAATGTTCGCAGGCGGGTGCAAGATTTTCAATGCTAATACACTCCTCACACACTGGAATCTCCGGTTTAGCTATGCATTTCATTCCTTGTGCTGTAGTGTTGAAGGAAGGCTTTTTGGAAAATGTTTGGCCATTGTTAGGCAAAGCAATATTGTTTCATGCAGGGGGAGAGCTTCCCAGCGTTCGTAATGAAATCTGTCGATAAATATATTTAAAAGCAGCTGTTCAAAATAATAATAATTGTTCACAAACGTGAGAACTTCGACAGGGGTTGTCATTTTTCTATGTTTTGTTGAGTGGCCTCTGTTATGACGTGCCTCTGTGAGCTTCACGGATTATAAGTATTTCTACCTAATGTAATTGCTCTAGCTATCATGGTGCTGTCAGTGTTGCGAATCTGTATTGGTCAGAAAGGTTAATTCACCCACCAAATTACTTCAATGTTTAGGTGGCTATCACAAAAGGCCTCACCTTTTTAAGCACCGATGCAATGAAAAAGCTTCATTTTTCATATTGAGAGTTGCTAGAAAGTCGTACGTGTATATGTCACTAAGTATGCAATGGATGCCAAATGTGCTAATTTAAGGCCTGTAATGTGGTCTAGTCTGATCACTTGTAGATGTAGGTTTTTTTTTTTGTAATCGATGTTAGTCCACATTTTATTTAGATTAGATTGACGTGGAGAGTATATCTCTGTACTGATAAATAGGACTTCTCCTCATTCTTTATAATGCTACATCATTGGTGAACCTTCAAGCTCAACTCAGTGGTCCCTCATGAACTCTTCCCACAACCAATATATCTACCAACTATTTTATATACGTCACACCAGCTAGTATGTACTGTCCTTGTCTCTACAACTTGCAGTTTTGCATTAGTGCTTGTAGTTTGTAATATACATTACATAAATTGCAGGCTCTATAAGTGCAAAGGAAAAGGGGCTCTCTAACATGAAATGTTGCTGATTGTAGTTAGGCTAGAAGCTTGCTCTGCTATGTGTATTTTTTTTCTTCCTGCTTGCGAAATTCCAGCAACTTGTTGAAGCACTGAACCTGTCGATGCTTTTACAGATCTTGGCCTTTTTTCTACAAAAACGCTTGTGGAAGCTAACCCGGACCATACGATAGAGGTTCGCACGCAGGTGAGCCTCTTGAGGTGTTTCCTGTTCTTCGAATCACTTGTGCCTTGGCTCTTGATCTTGCTCCTGCACTGCAGAGAGCCATATTTTATTTCAAGAAAATTGCTGAAGGTGAACCTTCACCAGCTTGTATTAAAAGCTTGCACACGGCTTCGCTGACCGTTGACTCAAATCATTAGTTCAATTGAAAAAAAAATTGGGCAAAAAAAAAACGTTGTGAACATAATCAGACTTGCCTTTCGGGATCCACCGATTAAAGATGTACTTATTTAGCGCATGGTATCCCTAGCCAGGCACGAATATAGTTTGCTGACTTATAGTCTTTTAAGTAAAGAATGCTGCAAACTGTGATTGTGCTAAAGCAAGCTCCTTATTAACAATGTGGTTCTTGTATGCTGTATTTGCAGCTGATGCAGTCGCCGGACGAGAATTGGGATGCAGAACGGCGGAACATGGTGTGGCGCTGTGAGAGCCATCGGTCACACACGAGTATAGCACGCTACGCTCAGTACCAGGCGTCTTCGTTCCAGGAGTCCCTCAAGGTGGGCAGCCTTTAGCTAGGCACTGAAGCCTTTTTGGCTTGTAGTTAAAGCTAGAGTTGTGTAGATATTAAAATAAGTGATGTTTACTTGAGGTCAATCTTAATTTTTCTGAGCCATGCTGCAGAAAACTCGAACACAAATTTTTTATCACCCTGAGGTAAGCAATGACTAGGCTAAAGATGTTCAATGCTGCAACAGTCTCGCTCCCTTTTTATAGCTAGTGAAGGGAGCGTGCACATAGTACTTCTCTGCAGTCTATGTACATTTGAAATCTCTGCGAATGTTGCCAGTGAATGATCCCAGTATTGTGATAGTCTTGGGGCAGGATGTAATAAGTGCACTATGAGTAGAAGCGACAGTTTGCTCCTCCACTTTGTTAATGTGCTCGTTTGTGTGTTTCAAATTTAGGTTTCTTTTTTGATTCCTGACACCGGCCTTCGTTTTTTATTTATTTTTTTATAACCAATGCTTTGGCTTAAGTATTGGCTAGATTAGCCTAGCCATGGTTTTCTAGAAAAGCAATGTATCATTATGGGGCCGTTAGTTTCGATTTTCGCGAACACCAGAATGGAAGCAGCGGTAGTACTGGGATTGTTATGCTGTGTATGCATACGAAATGAAGCTTTGCACTTTTCTTGTGTAACTATCGAGCCGGAATAGTGTTATTATTTCTTTTAACATCACAGCGGAGTCCTCTCCGGGCACAGAAAAAGACCTTGGCAACACTTGAGACTTTCGATTAGTCCATTAGGAATTGGCTTTTACTGCTCATCGTATCTTATATCTCTACGTTCGTAACTACCACTGAAAAAGACCCACTGATGCTGTGCGCAGGAAGAGCAAGAGAAGGCGCAGGGTGTACAGCGAGAGTCTGACAGTGACTCAAACTCGTCACTGCCTCGGGCATCGGCAGGCGGCAAGAGGTGGCGGCGCAGTGCCCACTTTAAGACCATTAAATTTGGCACCAACGTGGACCTGTCCGACGAGCGCAAATGGCGGCCACAGCTGCAGGAGCTGACCAAGCTGCCAGCCTTTGCACGGGTCGTCTCTGCGGGCAACATGCTTAGCCACGTGGGCCACACCATTCTTGGCATGAACACCGTGCAGCTGTACATGAAGGTAAGCTGCCCCAGATTGCTTTGCACAGTGGTAATGCCGAAGGGGAAATGAGCAGGAAAAGCAATTGAATCAGGCTAGTTGCTTTGGAAGTGCTAACGAATAATCATTTATAAAATTTGATGAAGCATGGTTTCGTTCTCCAATGTGTGCATCTTAAAAGAAAAGCTGTAGTGCCAGGAATTTGCTGCTTCCATTAATTTCGCTTCTGTGGAACACTTGTAATGTAAAGCAACTCCTTTACTTATATATTTATTCGGCAAATTTTATCTACTGCACAGAGAGATGCACTGTCTGCTGTAGATGAAAGATGCAACAAAACATATGCCAAATTTACTAGAGTACTACAAGAGTTCTAGCCAGTTGTGTTTAACAAGGTACATACTTGGCTTCCAGGTGCCTGGCAGTCGCACACCTGGCCATCAGGAGAACAACAACTTCTGCTCAGTCAACATCAACATAGGGCCAGGAGAGTGTGAATGGTTCGCGACGCCGGAAGAGTACTGGGGTGTCATACACGGCCTCTGTGAACGGAACAACATCAACTACCTCCATGGTGCGTCACAGCCAAGTTACTGCATCTGGGGAACATATACTTGGTTATATTTTAATTATGTTATTTAAATGCCATTGTGCATTGCCATGATGAATTAAAAAAAGAAGAAATTGTCTTGTGCTTGTATCAACTGATATTTCCTAATGTTGCCACACTGCCCCCTATATTGGTTAGTGCCCGTGTTGTTCACATAGTAAAATTATGGCAAAGCCTTCATGTCATTATAGTGCTTTTTGATGAAATTAATATCTCGGCTCATTTAGTCAATAAAATTCTGCACTTAGTACGTACTGCTTCATCTTCTCTTCACACTGTTTGGTTATATTTAGTATTGTTAGTATCATTTAGTCATAAAGAATACTTCCGAGTGGAAATGAATGATTGAGAGTTCAGACATAAGTCAGCCTAGACAGCCTGTCCTTAATGCCTGTCCTTGGAAAATCTGTCATGCTATGCGCTGTTCAACTCCTCTTCATTTTGTGCTACCATTGTGAGGCAGAAAGACAGTCACTGCTTGTTAATGCAACAAGAATCTTTTTTTTTATCCTTGTTGCGGCAACTCTGCACCATTTGGAGGCACTCTTGCACCATGTTTTGCTTTTGATGACCCAGGGTCGTGGTGGCCCCTGATGGAGGACCTCATGGCAGCACGCATCCCAGTCTACCGGTTTCTGCAGCGTCCGGGCGACTTGGTGTGGGTGAACGCGGGCACCGTGCACTGGGTGCAGGCCGTGGGCTGGTGCAACAACATTGCCTGGAACGTGGGCCCTCTCAACAGCACGCAGTTCAGGCTGGGCCTCGAGCGGTACGAGTGGAACAAGCTGCAGGCCTACAAGTCCATTGTGCCCATGATTCACCTCTCCTGGAACCTGGCACGCAACCTCAAGGTCTCTGAGCCGCAGCTCTTTGAGCTGATCAAGTGAGTTTGTCCCTTTCTTGGGCTTTGCTTGTGTTCCGTGTTAATTTACTTGTTGCCACAAAGTTGCTCACACAATTGTTTATCCACTCGCCATTTATTTCATTGGGCATTCCCCGACAAATTTTTTTAGAGTTCTTGTTTGAACGGGAATGAAATTCGGCCCAGTCATTGATGGTTGTGTGGGCATTGTTCGTTGCTTGACCTCTTCAAGAGATTTTACACAACGTGGCACGTACCATGGTCATGGAAGTGACTAATTTCTGGCAATCTTGACTGCTAAAAACTGAAATATCTGCAACACCATTGGTACCTTCTGGTCATATCTCTCAACTGTAAAACATTTGCTGTGAAGGCAATAATCTCACTGCAGATAGTACTGACAGGTTGACTGTACCTGCAAAAGTTATGCCAGGCATTGGTTTCTACTGTGACTATGTTGTTCCTGGTTGAGAAATGTCTTGACTATTGCTTTATTAACATCTGTGGGGCACACCTGAACTTTGGCTGCTCCATATAACCACAATGGCCTTGAATTAAGAGAAAGCTGCAGGCAGTCTTTCTCAAGTGAACTAAGATTTGACATTTTCTCGGGCAGCTGAGTCAAGACACATGCAGCTTTGGAGGTCGGTGATTCATTATTGTGCCTAGTCCATGTGCGACAATTTTTATGGCCAGCAAATTGTGTTTTTCGGTCCCTTATTCAGAGCCTGTCAGTGTCTCATTTTCTGGTGTGGCGCTCTTATAAAAACATTCTGTTTACTGTTTGGTTTGCTGAAACCAAAGCTGCTGGTATAAACATGTGTTGTGGTTATGTAAATCATTCTGCACTCATTTGTGACTTGCGTGACCTCCTTTGTGGGAAAAAGCCTTGTATGCTGTCACTGAGGATCAAGTACAGTGAAACCTCGTTAAACCGTACCCGCATAAAAAGTAGTTTCGTTTTAAAAGTAGTGAAGTCAAATCCCCGACTCGGCGGCTATTGAACATAGTGCATTTTGTATCCGCATAAGCCGTTTCAGCTTATCACGTATTTATCGGTTAATAAGTAGTTTTTCCAATTTTCGTTGCGCACTCACCGCGGCATGTCGTCCCCCACTGGGCGTACCGACAGAACAGCAATCCCCAGAGATCGAAACACGCCTCGCTTGTTTGTGTTGATGATGATGGCGGCTGTGTTGGTGAGCGCCATCTCTTGGATTTTTCTGCAACAAGAAGCACTCGGCCGCCCAGGCTTCTGGTGTTGTCCACGTGATGGCACTTTGCACAAACACGCAAACACGGTATGCGCTTGCTTTGCTTTCTTTGTTCCTTTGGCGCCGTGCATAGGTGTTCTCTGGTCGATTTGTGCCGTACAGCTCTCGCGTCGTTTTTCACATGTTGTGTATGTGTGCTTGTGCTGCTTCGTACTTGCGTCATGCCGAAGCTGGGACAAAAGCATCGAGTGCTGAAAATGGATGAGAAATTGGACATAATTCGTGCTATTGAAAGTGGCACAAAAAAATCGGCGCTGGCACGCGAAAAGGACCTGCTGTCAACCACGGCAGTGCTGCTGCAACTGCGAAAAGGTGCCGGCTACGCGGTTCGGCGTTTTCAAATGTAGAGGAGGCGCTGGTGAAATGGCTAAAAGCTGCACGGTGAAAAAATCTGCCTATCAGCGGACCCCTGCTCGTGGAGAAGGTCCTGGTTTTTGCCTCGCAGCTCAACCATGACAACTTCGTGTGCAGAAATGGCTGGCTGGCCAGATTTAAGGGGAGGCATGGCATTACCACAAGGACTGTTTCAGGAGAAGCTGCTGCTGCTGACGTGGATGGCGCGGAGCAGTGGCAAAATGGTCAGCTGAAGAAAATCTTGGAAGACTACGCACCTGATGACATCTTTAATATGGATGAATCGGCGCTATTCTTTAAATTGCTACCAGACAAAACGCTCGCGTTCAAAGGCGAGACGTGCACCGGCGGCAAGCATGCAAAAGACAGAATATCAGTGGCGTTATGCGTAAACATGACTGAAACCGACAAAACTCCGCTCCTTGTGATTGGAAAGTCGGCGTAGTCTAGATGTTTCAAAGGCACCCGGTTGCCATCAGGGGTCATCTATCGCAGCAACACCAAAGCATGGATGACGGCAAAACTCTTTGAGGAGTATGTGCACCTCATCGATCGTCGTTTTGCGGCTAAGAACAGAAGAGTTGTTATTATTTTAGACAACACTTCGGCGCACGTCGCCCTGGACAACATGACGGCTGTGAAGTTGGCGTTTCGGCCACCAAACACAACAGCGATTGCCCAGCCGTTGGACAAAGGCATCATTCGAGCTGTAAAACAGCTCTAAAAGAAGAATCTGCTGCACAGATTTCTTCTCGCCATTGAATGTGGCAAATTATTCTCCATCGACCTGATTGGCGCGATTCACCTGCTCGAATACTCGTGGCGGCAGGTTGAAGCAACGACAGTTCAAAATTGCTTCAAGCATGCTGGCTTCAGTGTGTGTGCGGGCGACGCAGATGACGCCAGTGACACCATCGATCAGACTTCGGACAACTAGACGAAGCTTGCAAAACTCTGCTTGTTGAAGTTCTGGAGCGGCAGGGCGTTACGGAGGGCATTTCCTTCCCCGACTTCAGAGACGCAGACAGCGATGACATCTCCGGAAACGTCCAACGAAGCCATTGTTGCCTCGGTTGTCGAAGTGTTGCCAAATGATAGTTATGAGGATGACATGGAAAGCGACAACACGGGTGATCTAGGTCCGAGAGTGGCTGAAGCTATGCATTGCGTCAACGTCATGCGGGTATTTGCCGAGAAGAGGGGGCTGGCGGAAAAGCTGGCTCACAGCATAAGTGAGCTTGAGGCCGCTGTCGTTGCTGCTAGACCGCCGCGTCGTCAAATGAAGACTAGAGACTTTGTCACGCGAAGTTGATAAATTTACTGCACGTTTTTTGTTTTTTCATCACACTCCCTGAAGGTTTCCTTTTTTGACAGGTAAGTGAGTGACCTGACGCTATTTCGGTTAAGCAGTACTACCGGTTAGTACGTACTTTTTCCGAGCTCCGGCCAACTACGGTTTAACGAGGTTTCACTGTACTACTGAAAGTAAATGATTTTTAAAAAATGCTGTCATTTGTTATCAGTACAGGTCCTGCAATCAATTTTTAACTTATTGAAAGTTGCCTTCATTGGCAATGGTGTTCATCTAACTCTTGGTTTCATACTTTTCTCACACGTGGACCCTTGCATATTGACCTTTGTGCAGGTACTGCCTGCTACGGTCACTGAGGCATTGTCAGATAGTGGTCGAGTTTGTCAAAGGCCTCGGCAAGGACATCCGCTGGCACGGACGAGCCAAGAATGAGATTGCCCACTATTGCACCAACTGCGAGGTAGGCTCTTCATTCATTTTTACTTTATTTTATTTCTTATTTTTTATTTTATTTGTACTGTCAGCACGTAAGCCAGGACAAGAGTTGAGGTTACATAACTCTCATGTACAAACGTAGTACATGCTAAAATAATTTTAACACGGAGCACTCAAGAATTGCACAGCATATGAGAATAAGAAAACAAAACACAAAATCATATTATAAAACGTTTCATACAGCTCACCGATATACATAGAATTTACACTTGACATTGTTGACATTCTTTCATAGAGTTATTTGTCACAAAGTAGCAAAACCTCGTTAATAAATACCTGCTGAAAACAAAGCATAAACGATAGTACTCATTAACCAGGTACAAATTTGAATTTCTCGGCGTGCACGATCACTGACAACAAAAGAATTAATACAGTGCCACAGAAAATATTGTCTAAGGTATCCACGACAAAGCTCTTTCTTTCTTTTTGCCAAAGTTCAAAAAATATTCTTCCACAATCGTTCGACAGCACGCGATCGCAATGCCAAGGAGCACATATTAAAACTATTACAGGGTCCGGAATATGCATCAGACTGACATAGCGACAGAGTGGACAGTAACAGCTTTCTGTGATACATGTATTCGCATCTGTACTGCGATATGCTGCTAAGCAAAACCTGCCACAGTTTCATTGAAACGCGGCACAGCCTCGTGGAGCCTCTCGTCTCCTGCTAGTTGTTTGCAGCACGTCACATACTCATCTCGCGCTGCCAAAAAGATTAAGATTTGCACAGGTCTCGTTTCAATAAAAAAAAATATTGTGCAGGTTAGTTAGGCCTTTAAAAATATGCCTATTTTTCTTTATAATATGTGATATACAATATATATTAGACCAAAATCACTACTCGCTTCAAACCTAAAATTCACTATTCGTGCAAGTCCAAGTGGCAGCGATGCATGGCTGAGCGCGTTCGGCTTGTCGCATACTAAAAACTTGCAATAGTCTTAAAGTAGCGCTATGCGACACGTGCCTGAGCAGATAGCTGAGGATACTTATTATGATAAGGTTGTCAGCAATAAGTTATACTGGTGCATTTGTTGGTGGCCACTACCTCGTCGTCGTTCTTTTCTGATGCTTACGTGCAAAGGCATTTTCACAATCGCGCAGAAGTCAAAATCACTGGCACTGTGAAATTTTATGCCAGAAGAAGTAGTCGCGGTGCAGAGGGTCCGCACTAATTGGTAGGCATAGGATGTACTGGCCTTTGAATGCTGTAGGCTTTATGAGTCTTGGTCGGGAATTTGTCGAAACTACAATTTAACCCTAAGTATCGTATTTACTCGCATAATTCTCGCACTCGCATAATTCTCGCACCCCCCACATCGCCCAAGAAAAATACGAAAAAATTTTTTCCTCGAGTAATTATCGCACCCCCGAAAACTGCCGAAATAATGTCGTCTGCTCGTTCCAGCCACTGATGTTGATAGCGCGCGCCATTCGGCGCCATCTCTTAAGCATCAAGCGTACTATTGCACGGAGATTCAATCCAATCCGAGTCAAGCCGAAGTGGCCAGTGCGCGTTGCGGCGTGTTTTGTATGTTGTGTCGGTCATCTTGGCATGTTATGGGGCGATACTGAAGCCACACGGCTGCTTCAAATTGCAAGTGATAGATCATACGCTAAACAACGGCAACAAGGCCGCCGGTAGGCCCTTCGGAGCCTACGAGTTTTGTGTTCGCTACTGGTGACGGCAGTCGTTTTGTTCTCACGCTATAACTATCGTCATGCCATACCAACTAGCCCAAGCTGCCACACCACCAAGACGTCTTGGGCCTGCCGTGTGCCTAAAACTGGGATTGATGGTAAACTTTATTTCTTCAGAAGGAAACTGCAGACGATTCTGTTAAATAGCCATCAGCCCAATACTGACGCCCTACGCTTACCTTTTGAAAGCTCCTGTTGAGCGCCGACCGCTACCGCTACGCCCGCAACGCCCACAAGCTTCGCGTATAGTATTCTAATTCTCGACTATTTGCTTCCACTTTTTATGTCTTGCCTTGTGTTGTCTTTTAAATCTTGCCTTTTAAATCTTGCCTTGTGTTGAACCTCTGCTTTTATTGTTGAGGTAAGTTCTAATTAGTACTTCGTAAAGCTTGCTGTAAGTAGCTGGTGTGAGAATCCCGATTTGCGGCCACTTCGTTGTTTTTTTTTTTTTTTTTCGCTCTCTGCGTTTTCGTGGAAAGTTTTCCCCGCGTAATTCTCGCACCCCCCAACTTTGCATCAGGTTTCCGGAAAAAAAAGTGCGAGGATTATGCGAGTAAATACGGTTGGTGGGTACGCATTAACGATGCATGACTGTGCATGACTATACCTTAAAGCAATTTAAGGTTTGGCCATACACCTTGTACAGCCCAGCAGCAATACACATTGTGCTTGTCTTGTGAACTTTTTGCAAGACCTGGTTGAAACCAAGTGATATGTGTGCACTGTTTCTGCTTGAGTGCAAGGAGTGGTATGTGGTCATGTTTGTAGTTTTGAAGTTTCTCTACTGTATGCAGTACGTTTGGTACACTCATGATCTGACCCTTGGTTCTTCAGCTGGAGGTGTTCAACATCCTGCTGGTGAGGGAGGTCGACAAGAAGCATATGGTTCACTGCCTCAGCTGCAGCCGTCGCATCAACCCCCGCCTCGACGGATTCGTCGTGCTTGAAGAGTACTCAATAGAAGACCTCATGGATGTCTACGACAACTTCTCCCTGCAACCCGTACGTGGTTTTTGGTGTCTCTTCAGTTTAGAGAGGGCTGTGCCTCCTAATGACTGAGGCCCCAAAGCGGTTAACACTTTATGCATCCTCTTTTGGACGACAGGAAGGGTGCATTTACTGGGGAATAAGCCAAAGCTGACGCTATTTGTCTTGGTCCCATTGTACGGAAAAAGACAGTGCGAGAAGTTGTCTTACTTGTGCACCAGTTGAAGTTGAGTAGTACACAGCAGAAGTGGGACTTGGTTTTAAGGCAGAATAGACGCATTGTCATTCGACCAATTATGGTACGCATAAACTGAAGTGAAAGCAGAAAATATTAGGCTCTGTCAGTACAGGTCTTTATGGCAAACTCTCTTCCTCTAATTACAATCTTCAAGCAGCCCGAATCTCTGGCTGCATCTTTCCCTTAACATATTCGTACTGCTACATTGGACCATGCAAAAAATGCAGCTGATCCCTCTGATATAGGAATTGGTATGCTACACGGAAGTGAAATGTGTCTTGACAGTAGTAGTTCAGCTTATTACACATTGTTACTATACGAACTCAACAACCAAACCCTGGCCGCTCAAAGTGGCTGTGAACGGGCCGCCAAGCTCGGCTTGACCGTCCCTGTGTGGGAGTAGCCGGGTGGCGTGAGGTCTCCCCTGCATCTTCTCAGGACCGAAATAAAGTTTTAATCAATCAATCAATCAATCAATCAATGTCCATTGGGCTTGAGCGGCTACAGCACCCCTAGATGTTGATGCATCCATATTGACACCTAATGGCACTTCTTCACCACCACAACTCGTGACCAGTATACACTTTTTGAAGACACTGCATGCACCGGAGCATCACGAAAATCACACTTGATAGGCGTTCGCAAACTGTGCAAGTGAAAACAAAAAAGTTTTCACTCAATAGTTTTTCAACACGCGGTCCACTGCATTGAAGGAGCGTGCTTTGCAGGTCGGCGACTGTCCTGTAGATATGTGCTTGGCATGCAGCGTCTTGTTGGCAAGCTGCGCCTGAATTTGGATCCTGCATCAGTGTCTGTATGATAGCCAGTTGGGTTGCAACGCATTCAACTTCACAAATGCAAAAAAAAAAAAAAAATGAAGATTTTAATACCTTATCTCTATGGGGATAATGTTCTTAGCTTGAGCTGTGAATTCGTGAAGGCCTCCCGCACCCTCCTGACATGTCCATCGCTGCACAAAACTCACTTGCGCGACATTCACCCAGTGACGCCTATTGTCTTACAGCTGCGCTTAATCTCGTAGTCGGTACCATTGCACTCGTATCCGTAGATGGTGGAGATAGACGATTGTTGCATATGGAAGCTGGACGACACTGCACAAGCTAGCACAAGAGCGAAATACGAAGCACACAAATCACACCAATACAACGCAAAAGATGAAACACGTAACTGCATCATCACCGATGCAAATCTGCTCGTGCAACACATCGCAATTACAGTTTACGTAATCAACTGCATTCGGAAGAGCAGTCATGTTTGTCGGAGGCTGAAACGCCTCCCCACGAAGCTTGCCGTGCATTTCGAACAGCTCTCGCGCAGACAGTGCTGGCCTACGGTCAACAGCACCGCACCGTCATGGCAGACTTGCCGCTTGCATGAACTTGCCATTATGCAAATGTCATTGTTTTTGGTTGAAAGGAAGTGGAAGCAATTTTGAATAGTAGTTGGATTCCACTTTTGGTAGAACGCAAGTGATAACTCGTAAAGTTTGTTAAGTTTAAAATTTTGCTATATTTAGAGCTTATAAGCCGGCATAACAAGCTTTTAGACTTAAAATAAGGAAGAATCGATGTGAAGGTGATATGTTCATTTAACCTTCATATCAAGCTTTGCGGAAGTGCGATTTTTTTTTTTTTTCAAAAGGTGCATTCACGCCATAGCATTTCTCTACTGCAGAGAAACCACCCTTACAAGAGACTAATATACATCTATACCTCCATTTCGAATAGTTCAAAGGTTGCAGTTACTGAACTATGAAGCAAATTCAGATATGTTAATATTAGTTTGAATATTAGCACAAGCCTAAAAAATAGACTTCAGTGTTTTTCCCTCTAGCAAAATGGGACTGGTGCACTTCTACAACCACTTGTGTGCCTTTGATTATTGTACAATGCCTTACATGTTTCATTGTGTTTTCGTTATGGGTGTCTTGTTAAAACTGCATATGCAGTGGCAGTGCAAGTGTTCATTTATTTGCGAGAATTTACAAGTGCCCTTTATTTATACGAACGAGTTGATTTGACTTTCGATCTTCCTTGTCGTGTAGGCACAAACTCCTTCAAGCTCATCATGACAGTCAGCAGGGAGCCCATGTACCATACCTTGACTGCTGGAACAGTCACCCAGTCAGCCACTGCACTGGCCTGAGCAGCTGGCCTGAAGAGCGTGCGCGCCCCCGTCACGGTTCTGCCCGCACCTTGAAACCACCAGCAGAAGCAGCAGCAAGTCGTTAGTGCACGTGTACATAGCAGATATTTCATCAAGGGGACAATTAGTGCTGCAGACATTGCGTTTTCTTCATACTTAGTGTGTCCCTCGAATTGAGTTGGAGGGGGGGCTTCTGTTATACACATTCACAGAACTGTGTCCACGCCTTTTTGTTTTTTGTTAAGAGCACTCAATGAAGAGAGCATAAAAGCTTGCTTACGAAACCAGTGAAGGAAAAAAAATCTTTGGCTTTGAGCTAGGCACGGCAAGAGTGTAAAGTGTATTCTCGTCAAATGTGGCAAGTTAGTTCTGCCAGTTTTGAAGGAGCGCACGAGTTGGCATGTGGCACTGAGCGTGTGGTCGGCATATGTACAAAGGCCGGCTTCGCTGATATAGATGGCAAGGTTTCGCATAAATTTCGGAACCTTGCAGGGTTTGGCACCTTCCACTTCTAAGTCTCCAGGAAGAGCGTACTGTAGCAAGGTTCAGAGTGTAGAGTTTGTTGGTTGCCTGTTTTGTGTGGTCCTGGTCGTATCGCAAGTGCTCAAGTAAGGGCTGCACAGAGGATTTCCTACTTGAAGGTGAAATACAACCTAGGGCTGTAATATTACATGCAGACGTTACTCGGAAATGCATGCGGATGTTGCAAGCTAGTCATCATATTGCGAGACTGCTTTGCTGGAACGTGCATTTTATACACACAAGCTATGCCAAGTGTATAAGCGCTGTGTATAAATGTTTAGTGTACAAGCGCTGCGGTGGAGACAGTAGTACTGAAGGCCACACACCCAGAATTGCTCAAACCCCTAATGATAATCTGTGCTTGATTCTAAAAATGCCCAAAAGGTGTAAAAGTATTGGAGACTTGCGTGCTCAAGTGCATGCAGGGCATCCACACACAGCCAAGACAGAGCCCTTACGTGAGCACGCGCGGGAAATAGCTGCAGCGGCATCACACATGCTCCCAGTGCAAAATGTCATCCCTTCACCACATCTGTGAACACACTGCCATTTATGTTTTGTTTTTTCTCATTGCCTGCCTGTTCATTGGAAACACTGCCACTTTCCATCAAGGGCACAACACACATTTTGGATAGTGTGCATAGTGTGATAGCTAGCCAAGCTCGATAATTATCCTTATTTTTGCCATCGTGGGTTGCTGCTGGAATTCAGCTCGGCATGGTGTGGATAGCATACAAGTGTTGAGGTGTAAGAGGACGTAAAACTATATGAAATAGTGAAAGGACAGAAAAGACCACGATTTCCTTGCCCAATCGTCACTTTGTATTTGCTGTGTTTTGATGCCGTAAGGGGTATGAAAACTATTGTGTCCAGCAGCAAGCACAGATACAACCGTATCACTAGGTTCACAATGTTGCTGGCTCTGGTTATGTTCCAAAAGCAACTAACACGCAGGAACCGACTGCCTCCACCCAGCATGTCACAAATCGGCAGGAGCCAATTCCGGTGTGGCAAGCAACGTCGCGTTGTTACAAATTCGAGAACTGTGGCACACTGCGAGATCAAAGGCAAAATGAATTGTGCATGTTCATTAGATTGTTGTCATGAAATGACCGAGTTTATTTGCTCATTGAAAATTGTGTATTGAGGCAAAGCCCAACCCTCCCGAAGGCATTATGATGTCCCATGATCTCACTTCATGCATCAACATGTATTTATACACACAGACTTTGTAATAGAATGCAGCCCTTGTTTTCGATAATTGCCTGGCCCTGCCTCTGTTTTTGTGTAATTTATCTCGTGTCTTTGCATTTACAGACAAAGTTTATGTTTATTAAAAAATGAACACTCTGATGTGTGGGCATTGCTTCTTTTTTTAACTGCTGCAGCTGCATTTGTTAGGACTCCAAAAGACATGCTGCATTGTGACAAGATGGCAATAAATTCCAAATACACCAGGCTTTCCTGGGTAACAGAAATGTCAAGTCCTAGCAGTCCCAGATGCGACATATGTCACATCTGCCTCAAAAATACTTTACTATATCGAAAGATTTGTTGTAAGCAGTTATTTTTTACACTGTATGACAAAGCTATTCTTCACTTACTTTGTTATAACCAATAATTTATTATATAGAGGCTTGAGTACATCAAAAAAATTCTCGGCAAGCACGGAGAACCGTCTAGTTCGTACTAATCCATAGTTTATTAAAGCATGAAAGACGCTTATCGTGGACGTGTCTTTCAAAAAAAAAAGTTCTGGCACGGAAAAATAGGTTAACAACCTCTCTTGCACTCGCCACTGAGGAAAAAGGGAAGCAAGGCCATGCTGCTGTCCTTCCAAGCGCTGCACTACAGTATGGAAACCTCGCAATTCGAAGTTGTTAGTCAACAGGCCTCGCTTCTTCAAAAGGCTACAATAATTGGAGTGCGGCGACGATCCTGCCTTGCAGCCTTTCCGAATGAGAGTCCTTTGCATCAGCAACATTGGCGCATGGTCGAAGCCGCTTTCAAAAATGTCGGCCAGGATGATGAAGGCGTGTGGGCAATGCCGCAACTGCTTTAACATTGGTCCATGTAGAAAAATTAAGCAGGCCTTTGTGGTAGTTCTGGATTGATTTTGTCAATCTTGAGTCCCTTAAAGAGACCCTGCAGCACTTTTCTAACCGCTTCATTAAAAGAGTACTGCCTCACAAATTGACTGCCACAAAATATTCTAGAGTGAACCTTCAAGTACAGGCAGAGTTGCAGGGTTTTGGGCATGCTGTAAGCACTGTCTCAGTTTTCTTGTCCTGACGAGGTTGTTTTTTGTATTCTGTTAGAAACTGGCTCATAGCCACAAGGGAGATCAGCCACTGTTGATTGTCAATGTAAATGCTTTCTATGCCACATAAAATAAAAGAAAAGATGGGAACTCGAAAATCGGAAATGTAAGCGGAAAAAGAATTCAAAATGCTACAGGGAGAAAGATTGAGACAAAAAAATTATTTTCTGTCGATAGTAACACTAGTAGCATAATCTTTTAGTTACTTGAATGAATTTGTGCAGTGCACTCAGAATAGCACTGTACTTGCCCCAAACTGACTGGCTCCAAACGACAACAGGCTAGATGTATAAATGGTAAACCCTGCCTACTGGTCTGCATTTGAAGAAACATTTTACAGTGTGGGGCAAAATGGCAGCATGATGAGTGCGCGGGGAAGGGTGGCACAGGATGAAGTCGTGTCACATGCGCAATAAGATCATGAGCACTTTTTTTTTTTTATTCGAATGTGCAACTTGCTTTCAGTTTGGAAGAGCTCGGGCAGGTCGCACTATCCCGCGGCTGCCATGGTAACTATGCAGCTCGTCATGTTTTTATAAATTCAGCCCACAGTCATGGACTTTGGGTTTATGGCATCATTTGTCGAGAGATGAGGGAATAATTTTTATTAGCAGACTTTGAGAATTGTAATTCTAGGCCGTGTGCTGCGCTATAATAATTGGCTCGCATGCTCTCAGTAGCCTCGATTACCGATTGGCGGCGTTTCTCAACCTTGCTAAAAAAATCGCAGCATATCCACGCAGTGAATGATATTGAGTGGGGCGAAGCGTCCATCAGCCCGTCCGTGCGTCAATCTATACGTCCGTCTGTCCATCCGTATGTCCGTCCATCTGCTAGTCTGCCGGTCCGTCCGTCCGTGAGTCCATCTAGCGAACACTCCAAGTACTGCGATCTCCCATCTCGCAACCCTTGTGGCACATACCCACTCTAGAGTGGGTATGTGCCACCGGTGGCTAAGTACTTAGGTACATACCTAGGTACATACATACATACATACATACATACATACATACATACATACATACATACATACATACATACATACTTATGGCGGAGTGACAGACCCACGCCATAACCAGCTTCGCCCCTAAAGGTGTTGCAGGACCCCTATAATATGTAGCTAAGTCTAGTCTAGGCAGGAAACAACACTATAAGTCAAGATGAAATGAAAGAACACAGATCACTGTTTCGTCTCGTTTTATAGCATTGTTTCCTGCATACAATGAACCAACTGGCCCAAAGGTATAACCTTGTAAACCTAGTACACAATAGTCATTCTAATTTATGCCTATAAGAAAATATGCGTGCACGTCGCGACACAACAGCTTCCAACATTTTGTACCCTTCGCTGTTGCGTATCCAGGAACCTATCTTGAAGATTGCCGATGGCTGAAGGTGCTTGCTCGACTGCTGCTTGCCTTTAGTGTGTACATGCTAGATGCAAAGCCACTTAACTTCATTAAGCACGGTGATACTTAAAATGTTGCATTAGATATTTAGAGAACAACACACTCCTGGGTGGCACCAACCCATGTGAACAACTTACTTGCCAATGGCAAATACAAACATACTAATGGGAGCTGCAAGCATTCAGCATTTAATTTTTTCCCCATTGCTGCGAACAAATCAAGTGCACTGCTACTGAGATTATTGATGAAAAATTTATTGAGAAATTTATTTTGAAAGAATAAAACTTTAAAAGATATATAGGCTTACCAATTCAGTTGAAAGCACACCCCACAATCACTTTTATTGAAATGAAATTAAACTTTCAAAAAACAAAGTGCAAGATTTCTATAGGCTCACCCTTTTAGTAAAAAAAATACACCAATGATCAACTATTACTGAAATGACAAAAATGTTTCAAAATTGAAAAAGTAACTTCCAAAAGCTTACCATTTGGTTACCATTTTGGTCTAAAACACACATGGAAATGAGAAGAATGTTTCAAAAATACAAAAGAGATTTGCAAAGGCTTAGCACTATTTCGGTTGAAAATGTAGCAATGATCAACTTTATTGAAACTGGAAGCATGTTTCAAAAGCCAAAAAAAGGAGAAGCTTTCCGATGACTACGGCTTACCATTTTAATTAAACCATCAGCTGCGCAGATGTTGCAAAACTGATGGTTGAAAGAAAAGAAAATGGGGGTACCATTACAATGCTGTCAGCCAAATACAAATGCACACGAAAGATGCAGTGGACTTGTGTACACAAGTGCTGTTCAATGCCACTCAGTGCTATCAGTAATTCGACAAGAGCCGTCACGTTCCTCATTTCTTGGTGTTTCACGCACCACAAGAATTTTTATTCCTCAACTTTTCACAAGCAATGGCACCATAAGACAATTACGTTTAGATGAGCTGTTGTAGCGGAACACACACCATGATGCAGATGGAACTTCAGAGAAGCTGGAAAGCGGGGAATGCAGACTTTTCTGGCTCCAGCATGTCGGCCATGAAGTAGATAGTGCCTGCCATGCCTGTTCGGGAAAAATGAGTTCATCAGTAACTAGCAACGCAGCGCGCAAAGAGGACCTCATCTCACCTTCAAAGAGGGAGAATGGTCTGTCTGCGATGCGGCACTGGTGATGCCCATAGTCGAAGCACCATTCGCAGAACTGCATTACACGAGCATTTCTTCCATATTTGTGCGCAATTGAACCACAACACAGTCTGTAGAGACAAAATGCTACTGTTTGGCAGCAGCCAAGAGGTGTTATGTAAGTTCAAAATATCCCTTACACAAAGCTAGAACATTTATGATGAGCCTAATGCTGTAAAAGTTCTCTCTTGTACAAACAGCACTTTGAGTGCTGGCTCATTCATGCTCAAGTTCCACATGGAAAGCGTTTTGTGGTGCGTTTCGTTCAATGCTACAAACTTATCAGCAACGAAATGGAAGAACTCTGTGTCACTGTTTCGACATAACATGCCAAGAAACATACAGGAGAGTAGGTGCTATGTATATCATGGCACAACTGGGACATTCTGGCATAACTTGTGCAGAGATGGCTTGAAATTGAAACATAATTTTGTGTGCATCCAACAACGCCACAGCATTCAGTCCAATGGTTCATTAACTAGGCCTTAATTTGCTATCATTTGCTATCGTACAACATATGTCTTATGACCTTAACCAATGCTGTTATAACAAAGCTGGATAAAAAATTACCTAATATATTCACAAGACGAGAGCAATATTTAATAGCATTGCAATCATATGAGAATTCACGGGTGGCAGTCGGCCACGTGGATTTGTGCATGAGTACCTCTTTCTGTACATATCACTCACTAAAGATCCCAACCACGCGAGGGAAAATTACGAAAGAATTTATGGCAGACATCACTACGAGACTACTAGCAGACTACCACATCACTCGCACATTACCATATTACTAGCAGACTACCACATACTATCAGAAAAAAATGTTTGTAATCGAAGCATCCTAATTTATAGGGCAAAAACCTACTTGGAGAAGCTTGAGAACAAGTTAATGATGGTGTAACAAGTAATGAAACAAATAACGTTAGTAGTACATTGAGACAGCAGTGTGTGGGTAGAGAGAGAGAACAGTAGCATCTGGTTTGCTACTCTGCACTAAGGGGAGGGCAAAGAAATAGGAGAAGGAAAGTGAAAAGAAAGCTAGACAAGCAAAAAAAAAGCGAGAGTGTTATAGCCTATTCAACAGGCCACTACAATGTAAAAAGCTGAATAGAGCCCTGACTGACTTTCTGGGTGAAGACGGATCGTGTCGGCATTCGAGAACCAACCGTTCTTACAAGGGTCTGTCACCAAGGCGGGCTAACACAGCAGATGGTGGCAGTCTGTGCATGCTGTAGCGACGGCAGTGACAAAGAACATACTCTATCATTTCATTGCTCCCGCAATGATCGCAAGCACCACAGCCTTCCATGCCGATATAGAAGGGGAAAAATTTTGTGAAAGCAACACCAGGCCACAGTCGGCTTGGTGTCGCACCATCATTGCTGACATAAAGAAGAAACAGAGCATTGGAAGGCCTGAGATGTGCC